TTTACTTTACAAACTGTATTTTTAAAAAAATATTTTATTTTTGGGGGGTGGGGAGAGAAATGGAGAGAAACATTGATGTGTGAGAAAAACATCAATTGGATGCCTCTCTCACACCCCCAGCTGGGGACATGGCCCACAACCCAGACTGGGCCCTGACTGGGAATCAAACCAGACACGCTTTGATTTGCAGGCTGGCACTCAATCCACTGAGCCACACCAGCCACAGCACAAACTGTGTGTTTTTAAAATAACACTTAACTGCAAAAAGAAAAGAACACTTGTTTTCTCATTCTTGTGGAATTCTACCAACGCTCCATTCTTTTCTCTCCTCCCAAGACAAAAATTCCAAGCCACCATTCCAGGCATGGCCTCTCTGCTAAACCATGGCCTTTTATCTCTAGTTTGTCTCTGCCTACATGGCTGACCTAATGTCACTTAAAGCACACGACTTCCCTTCCTTTCCCAGAAACACATTCCCAACTTTTTCCATTTATGTTGACACTATTCTCCATCCCATCTAGTTTTCAACCTTAAGAATTATCTGACATTTTCCCCCCCATGCCCATCATTGCTTCCTCCATCACATACTGTAATCTGATTCATGGTTTTGTTACAGTGGCCTTCCAGGTGCCCCAGTTTCACCACACTTAAATCTCTTAAACACTGCTTTCATCGTACTACTCCCTGGTCCAGGAACTTTAACACCTGTCTAATCAAACATGTGCTCCCATTAGCCTTGGCTGGTGTGGTTCAGTGGATTGAGTGCTGGGCTGTGAACCAAAGGGTTGCTGGTTTGATTCCCAGTCAGGGCACATGCCTGGGTGGCAGGTGCACACAAGAGGCAACTACACACTGATGTTTCTCTCCCTCTCTCTAAAAATAAATTCTTTAAAAACAAACAAAAAAAACATGTGCTCCAATTATGAATAACACCCTGCCTAAATCACCCCCCTTTTTTTCAATCCTTTATTCTTCTGGTAAGATACCCCCCAATCTAAATCAGGCTGGGTGTTTCCATGTGACAGCCCTAATTCCTTCTCTCATGAAGCTCCTTCTGTCTCCATTTTATAACCAATGACTAGCTAATGCCAACCCTATATTGACTTTGTCAGCTCCAAATTCTTAGATCTTAATCAAAGTTGTTTTTATGTGACTAGAGAGCTAATGTGTGGGAATCTAACATACAAGAATTTAATACTACACCCTTCTAAGTTGTTGACTTGTTCCAAATGTTAAGAGGCTTGGATCTCTGCAGTTCATGCAATAAAGCAAATCATTAGAGGTCTTGAGCTGAAATGATCTCAACTTAATGCTTGTTTGAGGAATGCTGTTGTTGTACAAAACAATTCTGGAACCGCTTCACAGCTAGTGTATGAGCTGCATTTAAGTGATTCATTACTTCAAAATTAGTATTTTAAAAAGATGACGCATTACCTAACTCTCTCATTTATCTATTTTGCAGATTTTTATTCTAGATTACTTCTGGAATTTCCCCCAAGTTCCCATTCTTAGTCTTCCTGTTCTCTCCTTTAATGTTTGCATTCCTAGAAGTTCTTGATCACCTCTGGGCAGATGACTCCCAAATCCACAACTTTAACTCTAACTTCTTGCTCTTAAGCTCCAGACCCATATTTTCATTTACTGGCTAAACATCTCTGTATGGAAGCACTTCCAACCTAGTGTTCCCCAAGTGAGCTTCACCCCTGAAACCTACTCATCCTGTCCTCCCTATTCAGGTTAATGACACTCCTCATTTATACAGACTAGAATAGAAACTTGTCTTTATCAATGACTCATCTTTGGTTAAGTGCCCCTTGTTAAGTGCAATGGTTAGGAACACAGGCTCGAGAATGACTTTCTGGGTTCAAGTTCTAATTGCTGTGTGAATTCTGTCCTTTGTCTCAGTTTCCCCACATAGAAAATGGAGAAAATAATAGTGCCTTTTATAAAGTTGGGATGACTAGATGTTTAACACTTAGAATAGGGCCTGACTCACAGTAAATGCTTGATCTCTTACCCCCTTTCCACATAGCCAGTCCTTTTCAGAACTCAGCTCTGATTCCCCTGAGAAACCTTCCCTTTTGCACCCCATCAGGCAGGTAGTTCGCCTCTTTCCTCCTCTTGTCCCATTGTGCTTAGTCCTTTATTAGCAACATGCTATCCTGTATTCCCCATTATTTGTTCAAGTTCACCTACTAAGCTGGAAATTCCTTTAAGACTTGTTTCTCAATTATTTGTGTATCTCGCATGCCTAGCACCATGTCTGGCACATGACAGGTATGCTATAAATGTTGGCTGAATGAATCTAGTCAGCTACTAAGCCCTGTCAGAGTCTCTCTCTGGATGTCACTTGTCCTCTTTCCTGTTCTGTCCAAGTTCTAATCCTCTCTTGCATGAATTACTGCAAAGCTGTCTTACCATTGCCACTAAAATTATGAGTTCAAAGTCACTCCTCTTCTCAGAAACTTACCTGTAAAATTAAAGTCCAAATTCCCTGCCATGCATTTGTCTTCCAAGCACTGGCCCCAACTTATTTCTAGCCTATCTCCATTACTTCCTTCAAAAAATTCTATGCTCCAGATTACACTAGTCTTTTCCTTCTTCAACATATCCTTTGCTTCCACTTTTTTTTATTTTTAGAGAGAGGGGAAGGGAGGGAGAAGGGGGGAAACACTATGTGTGAGTCCCTCTCACATGCCCCTAACAGGGGACCTGGCCCAAAAACCAGGTGTGCGCCCTGACTGGGAATCGAACCCTCAACCTTTGGGTTTGTGGGACAATGCCCAACCCACTGAGCCACGCCAGTCAGGGCTCCACTTGTTTTTTGTTCATGTTGTGATCCCTGCCTAATATAGAGATTGCAAATTGGTAAACCCTGATTTTTGGGGGGGGCCCCCCCAAGCAGTTTTTAAAAACTGAACCAACATTTAGAAGTTGTGAGATTTAGCCCTGACTGGTGTGGCTCTGTGGGTTGGGTGTCCTCCTACAAACCGGAAGGTCACCAGTTCAATTCCCGGTCACGGCACATGCCTGGGTTGCAGACCAGGTCCCTGCCCTGGGGGCATGCGAGAGGCAGCTGAGCCATGTCTCTCTCACATGCCAATGTTTCTCTCCCTTTCTCCCTCTCTTCCTCTGCTCTCTAAAAATAAATAAAATATTAAAAAAAAATAAGTTGGGAGCTTAAGCATAAACATTAAGATGCCCAAAGTTTTGGTAATATTGGGCCCTGTGTATAGCAGCAACCAACCAGAGCTGCACTGCCAGCTGTCCCCTTCTCTCGGGGCACATATTCATCTCCTAGCCAGCTGTAAAAAAGAAAAATCTCTCTACAGCCCTGGCCAGGCAGGTGAGAATGTCATCAAGGTACATAACAAGAAGCAACCAAAAAATGCACAAATGGGTGGAACAAATAATCCATGCTTTTCTCTCTCTCAGTAAAATAAAATGCTTGTCATTAAAACAAACAACAAAAAATATACACAAGTGGACAACGAAGAGATCAGGCTACTGGTAGGACAACTGGACCTATCTCCTGATGTTACACAACATAAAGAGCATCTTGCCCTGGCTGGTGTGGCTCTGTGGATTGAGTGCTGGCCTGCGAACCAAAAGCTTGCTTGTTCAATCCCGTCAGAGCACGTGCCTGGGTTGTGGGCCAGGTCCTCATTTGGGGGCATGTGAGAAGCATGTATCTCTTACATGTCATGTTTCTCTTTCTCCCTCCCTTCCCCTCTTTCAAAATAAATAAAATCTTGAAAAAGAAAGAACACCTCTCCTGCGACGCCGTCTATCCCCTTGCAGAATATTCTGAATATTGTTTCACTTGAGTCTTTCAGACTAATCTCTCAGGTCTAGTTCTGTTTAGCAAAAACAGGAGCTAGAACAAGTTAAAGGACACTGAAAACAGTCAAATCCAAAAGACCACTCTCCAGGACAACTGGCCCGATGTCTTCTATAAATTAGTGTTTCCAGAAAAATGTTGTTCCAGGAATGCAGATTGAGAGAGAAAGACTCAAGACACAGAACATGGTGTAACACAGTTCCTGGATTGGATCCTGGGCTGGACAAACGTTAAAAGTGTTATCTTCTTGGGACAATTGAGGAAATGTGAATATAGGTTTGTATGAGAGACATACTAATAATTTTAAGCACTTGTTATTTTGGCAATGTGTAAAATGTTGTTTTTTCAAATCTATATACCGAAGTAAAAAAGTTAAAACTAACTCTCTCTACATTTCTCCACCCATACTCCTGACCTTAAAAGTTCAGAATGGGTTGGCAAACTTTTTTGTAAAGGACCAAAAAACAAATATTTGAGGCTTTGTGGGCCATAGTTCTGTGCAACTACTCGACTCTGCTGTTGTGATCTAAAAGCAGCCACAGACAACATGTAAACCAACGGGCATGGCTGTGTTCCAGTACTTTCTTTTTTTAAACAAAAGCAGACAGCAGGATGCAAGCTGGAGTTTGCCAAACTCTGATCTAGGACCAAAGCCACTTCTGATGGGTGGCGCCCATCACAATCAGTAGCTTTATCTTCCCTCTGCTCACATATTGCATGTAAATCCACTTAGGACATTAATTATATCTTATAATATACTCTTCTCCATTAACGAGTAAGTCTTTAAAGGTAGGTGCCGTTTTGCTACATGAATTCTCCTATCCCCACCCTACTGAGTTCCTTGCAGAATATTCTGAATATTGTTTCCAAGAACCAAATCTACCCTAAAAGAAAGATGTGGTACCATTCATGACATTGGCATGCAAAAGAATGAACAGCAGGTTCTGAAAGTACTAATTTTGAAGGAAATTCAGACAAAAGTTTAAAACACACTACTGGTATCACTGGAGTACATATATTGCCTCTTTTGCTCTCTATTGTGATGTACTCATCATTACTTTATAATCAGACCTTGTGTGTATGAGAAGTGTAGTAGAGACTCAGTTGGCTCAGGAATGCCCTTATGGGCACCCCCCCTTAATACCACTAGTGTCTACAGTGCCATCAGATTTACATTAGGTGCACAATAAATGGCTCAACTAATTTAAAATATTAATACTTGGGGAAAAGACTACTTTTTCTCATGACAGGGAGAGGGTGGGAGCAAATGCCTACAAAAGGGCTCATCAAGGTTTGACAATCACAACAGATAATCGGTCATTCCGGGTTCCCTTCCTCACATTTGCTTTCTTGGTTAGGAGGCATTGGGGGGTAGAGGTTTCCTTGCCTATGACATAATTCCAGATTCTAAAACAAAGATGGAACAAGGGAGGAAGGTGCATGCATATCTTTCATGGAAAGTGTCCCACAAGATGTGGAATTTGGGGCAGTGGCAGACCTTGGGGAAAAAAAAAAATCAGATCACTGGAGAAAGAGTATTGGCTGCTACAGGAGCCAGGACGGACGGATGTAGGAGGGCACAACAGGGCAAAGATGTGAGGTGTCCAGTAATTCCAGACACCCTCCTGAAATGGAGGTTAGTTCCGAGACAAGGCTAGGTTACAAAGCAAGGAAGAAGGGGAATTAAGGTGAGAAAAAGGCCAAAGCAGAGGAGAAACCTCACAAGAAGGGGAGAGATACTGAGTTAAGAATTTAGAGAATTGAGGGAAAGGTTTATTATTAGTGCAGTCAACACCATGGAACAGCACATGTAACACAATCAGCAACCTGCACAGACACTAGTGCAAAGGGTGGGGAAGCTTGAACTGAGCTTCCTGGCTCCACCTGAGGAGGACAACAGGAGGGTATGGGCCTTGGTAAGGCAGGCAGGGGCAGCAGGGAGTATAAGAAATGTAATAACCAGATTACGTGTAGCAGCGTTTTCAAATTCCTGAGCACAATGTCCTGGAGCCGAAACATGTATGACTGTTCCCCACTCCCTTCCAGCTGTATCCCTCCACTCCAATCCTAGCGGAGCCAAGACGCAACTACCCAGACCTACCACAAGCTGGCCTGGAATAAAACTCCAAAAAGAGAAGCTATTATATGGCCACCTCTCTTCCATCTCACTCCCACCTGCATATTAAAATAATCACACCCACTACTCCTCCCCTTCTCTTACTCTGTCAGTCACCCTAGCGGTGAAGGAATGCCTGAAATGGAGCTGCACTCCTTAAGGGGCATGGCTGAGACATAGCACTGCCTAAATTCAGCGACAAATACATAATTTCTATTCCACTTTGCCTGGTGAAGCTTAGAACCCAGCTATATATCTCCAAGGAAATGGGGGAGGGGAGTTTCTTCAAAATTTATACTCTAAATCCAGAGTTTTACAGTGAGACCCTGGAAGGGCCAGGAGCGGAGTTCTCCAGAGGGCTCGGGCATCGATGCTGGAATACAGGCAGCCCCTCATCTCAGACAGGGTTACGGAGGGCTGGGGCAGACATTCATTCAGCCAAGGACTCCCTTGGCCCTTTCTACATTAGAGCCAAAGGTTGTGCTGAAAAGGAAAAATATAAAACAGATCCCACCCCTGTCCCGCCCTATCCAGAATCCCCACCATAGGAACAGCAAAAGAAAAGTTTTAGGTTTTGTTAATTTTTTTTTCTTTTTCCTTTCTTTAAAAAAAAAAAGTAAATAAATTAAATTGCCAACAATGTGGCTGGGCTGGAAAAGTAGGATGGCCATAACCAGGCCATTCTTTAAAAAAAAAAAAAAGTGGGAGGGAGAGGGTGAAATATAAACAAACAATGGCCAAAGGGAATTATCAACATAACTGGTTACAATCACAGGGCTGGACAGGGGGTTACGGAACTATTACGGCCTGTGCCACAAGAGGCAGTTGCCTACCTGGTTTCAGCAAAAGCCAGAGTGCTGCTTCTTGCTGAGCATATTCACCCCAACAGACTACCCCCCTACCCCCATTCCTGTCATTCCCTAATTAAGAGGACATGTAGGAAAGAAGAGTTCATCTGAAATTTTCGGCACCCCCACCTGCACACATGCAGACCCAGTGGTAGCCCGCACCTTTAAGGTGGGCTAAACAAGGTATTGCTTGGCACAGAGGTCCAGTCTTCCCCTAAGGGCCATCAATGATGGCTAGTTACTGGCTCATTATTTCTAAGGTTTTGGTTCCACCCTTACCACTTCTTCAGGATGTCTGCTCCCCAGAGCGGGCCTCTGAATATTTAAAGTGAACAGGCCTGCCTGCTCAGATTCTCTGGTTTTGAAGGAGGGGACTGATTCAAGATTTCTCACTCTACCCTGATCCTCTGGGGAGAAAATGAGTATCTTTGTGCTTTCTGAAAATATCTGGAACCAGGGACCGTAGGCAGGAAAAGAGATATAGAGGTGGGGACTTTTCCTAACCAGACTGAAAATTTACAGACATCTTAGGGGAAGAAATTAGGCAAAAGAAGGGAATCTGGATTTCCCACGTGAAAGGCCGAGCGAAGTGTTCCAGGGCCCTTCAGTGCCAGAAGAGTAGGGAGATGTGTGGCTCAAGTAGAAGCCACAGTACTAAGGATAGTGGGGACGACTCAGGGCTCAGCTACTGGAGTGATGAGTTTTCTGATTTCCATCTCTTCCTGACAGCCCGCCAAAATCTATATCTCTTCCACGCCATGCGCAAATATCATGACAAGCCCCGGCTCCTGCACCATGTCATCACCCATATGCTGGTTCTCACAGGCCATCACGACAACAGCCTGCTTGCCAGGGATGCGTTTGGCCACATAGTTCTCATAGTACCGCCGGTTCATCTGTCTTGTCTCTAGTGTGGCCAAACCCTGGGGCCAGCTTCGCTCGTGGGCATTTTCTATCAGCTCGTTGACAATAGAGGCAGGACAGCCACTCTCCACCAGGGAGCGCTTGATTACAGCCTGGAGTACAGCATCTGGGGTGGAGATCATGCCTCCCCAGCGGGTCACTCTTGCTGGCTGCAGCGAGTTCACCCACCTGTGCAGAGGAAGATGGAGATGGTCATTCCAGCTCACCTTCTTTGTGTTCTTCTTCCCCTAATAGGAATAATCACCTACTCTACAATTAGCTTAACCCCATTCTCCCTCCCACCCTCCTTTCCTTCCTTCCTCCCATCCGTTCATCCATCCATCCATCATTGGTTTAGAAATTACTAATCTTTCCCTAGTTGGTCCCATCTGAGTCACCACATGTTACCCAATTAAACCCCACAAGTGTGGGGTCCCTGATATTTTTCTTAAAAATCCCAATAGCACACACAGCGCCTGGTATGTACTAAGTGCTCAACAAATGTTTATTGAAGGAAGAAATTATTCCTCTCTACTGTGTCCCATGCAGCATTATCTATACTATATATTGATTCACCCTTAACACTTTAGTTTATGAGATGTCTAGGACCCCAGAACTGAAAGGGATCTTAGACTTTGCTTGTTTACTTCATTGCATTTTTATAATACTTTTTCTGGATTTACACTCTTCTCTTTTCTGGATTGTAAGCTACCTTATTTTACAGACAATATCTTCTATTATCTTTTTGGCCCTCCTCGCACTCCACAGCCTTCAATGCAGAGCTTTGAATATGTGGGTACTCACCTAATTCTGGAGACACTGCATCCTTGGGTAAGCTTTCCCTTCCACCCACCCCCAAAATAAGAGTATCCTCTTCTCCTCTGCCCCAACATCTGAAGAGTGGTGGCCCGGCCCAGCCTTCCTGTTACCCTCCTTCTGCCACTCCCCTGCTCCTCCTCCTTTGAGGGCTCAGTGCCGGCATGTGGAGTAATTCCACATCTTGAGTGCAACTTACTCTAGGATCTCATTGTATTCGATAGTCTCCTCCAAGTTCTGAAGGTTGGGGTTGACACTGCGGATTGCACGCATGCATGCCTTTAGCAGCTGAATGTCTCGCTTCTGTTGGAGGGAAAGAGAACCAGGGATGATGGTTAAGGTAGAGAGCAGATGAAAGACCAAAGTTTATCTGAGAATGAGGGTAACTGAGAGATTGGAGGAACGACCAGACTGTAAGCTTCCAGAAGACAGGGATATGATTGTTTCATTGACAGCTGTATCCCTAGTGCTTAGCAAAGTACCTTCATAGAGAAGGCATTTGACATGTGGTAGGTGAATGAATGACACTAAGGGGATGAAGAGGAAGGAGAAGAGCTCCGATCTGATTCCCTACTAAGCCGCAGGCACAGCATCTACTCAGCCAGGTGCACAAGCACAGGCACAGATCTGCAGCTCACATGGTGCTTATCACCCACAAGCATGTAGCTATTTGAATATTATGAACATGTTTTCTCCCATGTTCTTTGGGCCCTACCTGCTCTGCCAGCTGGTGTTTGTGTTCAGCTGAGGTCTTCTCCAGCTCTGCGATGCGTGTCTGCTGCTGCTGTACCACTGAGCGCAGGTGCTTAATGCAGTTGTGGTTTGGCAGCTCATCTTTGGGCATCTCCAGGCTGCCACCCGGAGTGAAAAAAGAGAACAGGAGCAATTCAGCAGACTATGTGGGCAAAGGCAGAAACTTGCTGAGAGGGCTTTTTCCTACCCCAAATTTCTAACATTCATTCATTTCTTTTTAAAGATTTTATTTACTTTTAGAGAGAGGGGAAAGGAGGGAGGAAGAGTGCGAGAGAAACATCCATCGGTTGCCTCTCGCATGCCCCTGCCCAACCAGGGACCTGGCCTGCAACCCAGGCATGGGCCCTGACCGGGATCGAACTGGTGACCTTTTGGTTTGTGGGATGATGCCCAACCCACTGAGCTATGCTGGTCAGGGCTAACATTCATTCATTTCTAACTTCAGCCCTCCCCCTTGTTTATTCTCTTCACATTCTCCTCCCTAGAAGCTTCCTCACCCCTTTGCTATCTGCTTTCTCTGGGCTTCTTTCCCTCTCTCAGGCCATGTTTTATCTACCACATGGCTCTCCTTTACTCCTACAGATTCTGCCTGTGCATTCACTCCTGAGAAGCCCTAGATTCACAGCCCTATCAGCATTTAATCAAATATTTCACACCCCAAAGCAAGAAAAAAAAAAATAGGGCAAGAGGAAATATGAGAAGGCTGGAAATTAGAGCAGACAATCTGACAAAGAGAAAATAATACTGGACTTAAAGGGAACACTACAGTAAATCGAGTCTAGTGCTGTCACACAGATTGCTGAATTGCTGCCTCCCTTATATTAAAGCAAGAACAAAAAGATCATAGTTGGAGAAGCGGCATGAAAGTGAGACCTTGGGGCAGGATGCCAGGGAGGCCAAGAACACTCCTTGTCTACATGCACTTCAGCCAGTGAGCAAGGGATCCAAAGATAGGGATCTAAATGGGAAAGCCCTTATCCATGTGTCCATGTGGGGCAGAAGAAGGGAAGGAGTCTCACCCGCAGCCCTGTTCACAGGTCACAGGCCGTTTTGGGTTGTGCTCACAGTCGCTGAGGTGAGACATTAGGTTGTCAAGCCGGACAACAGCACTGCAGCCAAATACAGCGTTGTCGCAGGCAATTTGCAGCTTTGACAACATGTTCCGCATGATCCGAGGTACTGGGCGTAGGTGGGCAACCGTCACTACGCTACGGTCCACCGGACACGTCTGCTGCTGAGAGAACCACTGGGTGATACAGGCATTGCAGAAAGCATGCTCGCAATGAGGTGCCTAGAGGGAGAGCAGGGCAAAAGGGCACAATAGAATTAGCAGGAGCTAAGAGCCTGTATATGATAACTTGAAAAGCCAATCATGCCTTTGTGCAGCCTCTAGGACCAGAGGTCCCTGGTGTCACAGCAAAGTATAGCTTGCACTATGGGTAGGCAAGGTATCATGGGGGACAGGTTTCAGATAGGTTTCCTGTGTTGAAGATTCCAATTAGACTGTGACCTAAGACAAGTAACAATAAATTTTATAACAGTAAGGTAGAAATAATATTCCAGGACAATAGAAGAGATGACATAAGGCAGTCAATTATTAATTGCCGACTGTATTGCACACACAGTAATTACCAAAGAAATTCAGAGGAGGGTGAGCACTTTCCAAGCTAGGTCAATCAGGGCAGAGCACATAATTCAATATAGGTCTTGACAGATAAGGGCGGGGGCGGGGAGGGTTGCAGGCGGGCAGAGATTTATTGGCAAAAGTTCCATGTAAGAAAGCAAAACAGAACGAAAGCCCAAAACTCCCGGGGAGAGGTTAAGAGTCCTCTTTGTGTGGGCCCAAGTCCATATTTTATGAGGGATCCTTTTCCCTGAGTCCCAATGTCCATGCCTACCCTCCAAAACATGGCTGGTTTTTCATAGAATCACACTCTTTTCAGTTTCATAAAGATCATATTTCAGCCTACTTCCTTGATAACTCAGGTAACCACTACAGTTAATTCCTCAAAGTGAGAGGATTCTCTGGTCTTTATGGAGACATTATCTGGCCTCTAGCATGGGGCAAACATAGTAAGCATTTAGTAGGTGTTGATGAATGAATAAATGAGTGAGTGAGTGAATGAATGAATGAAGTGCCTACTACGTCCCAAGTACTTTGCTAGGGACACTATAAGAGAGAGAGAGTTTTTGCCTTCAAGGTACCCACAGACACCAAAGACTGAAACACAGAAGGCTTTGTAAGGAAAGAAGTCATTGTCAATATCACTAATCTGTCAGATTTTTATTTTTTACTCAAAGACATTTGATTCTTTCCAAAATCTTAAAAACCCTATCTCCAAAAGAATCTTCAATTTGTCTACTTTTCCCCCATCTCTACATCCACTCATCCAGTTCAAGTGATCATTTCTCATCTATAGTATTAAATATGTCTTCTAAATGGTCTTCCTACTTCTACCTTGCCCCTTTCTATTCCATTCTACATTCAGCAGCCAGAGTGATCATTTAAAAATACATACTAGACCATATCACTCCCTTGCTTAAAACTTTACAATGGGTTCCCATTGTACTTAAAATAAACCCAAACACCTACTCAGGACCTATGACATTCTGCTTGATCTGGCCCGGTGCCTCTGCCCTCTCCTCACGTCATGCCACGCTCCCAGCACTCTGTTCAGGCCATTTTGGCTTTCTTTCTGCCCCTTGTCCACACCCAGCTCATTCCTGCCTCAGGGCTTTTGCTTTTGCTGCTCCTCTTTGCCTGAAATGCTCTTCCTCTAAATCTTAGCATGAGTAAGTCCCTCATTCAGATCTCAGCTCAAGCGTCACCTCTTTTGTGACCACCTTAACTAAACCTGCCACCCCTACAGAAGTATATAGAATGTAATCTTTTCATGTGAGAAAGGTGGGCAAATTTATATATATATATACACCTACATACATACATATGTACACATATATACATAAACATGTATACATATATACATATTGTATACTTGCTTGGATCTGCCCATATATACTACAAGGACACCAAATAAACTAACAGATACTAATGAAGGGATTAGGTGGACTGGGCAAGGATGCAAGAGTTCTCACTGTATACCTTTTTATACTGTTTTGATTTCTGAACCATATGAATTTATTACCTATTCAAAAAATAAATAAATATGATGTAGGGAAATCAGCATCCCTCGCAGGCGTGTTCTACCCTCGGAAATGTGGCTGGTAACCTGGTATCATGAGGTCTTCCTGGCCTGCTCCTCAGAAGGTAGACCCTGAATATTAGGGGGTGGCTTCTGATAGACAGTCATCAACGGTCACTGACCTCTCCACATGTGTCTCACCTCAAACGACAGGGCCAGAAAACAGGCAAGGCCCTGCCAGCGTGGGAGGGAACTGACACACCCCATGACCTCTTGACAACACCAGGATGGCTTGCTCCACACCCAGCCAACCTGCTTCTAATAGCAGTAGGCTACAAAGGCCTAGAAGACAGGGGAGAGAGCCAGGGCTAGTTGCCAATGGAATAGAGGCTGATTTTCTTTCAGCTCAGGAATCTGTGCCCCTTTGGGTAGTTGAAAACTGGACAGTAAGAATAAACTCAAAGGATCAGGGAGAGCTGGGATGTGGTGAGTTGTATATGCAGTGAGTTAGTGGGGAAGGGCCTTGAGACTTCACTGATAAGTGTTCTGGTTTGGAAAATGGGATTATCTCCAGCTAGCCAGGAGTGGCAGAGGATTAATTGGTATTTACAGAGTTCAAGCAATAAGGACCATGCAGAATGATGATGATGTCCCAGGATTACGACTGTTAAGAATTCATCTTGGGGACAGGGGAGAATAGAGGGACTAAATGGCAATGGAAAAAACTATAATAAAGAGTAAATGCAAAAAAAGAAAAAAGAAAAGAATGCATCTCATTCATTATACTTGCCTGTTAATCATGAACTTCTCCTCATACTTGCCCCAGGGAGATACAACTGACTCTGGTCTGGTAAGGCTGGTAGAGAAATGACCTATTGAAGGTGGCAGCTTTCATATCAAATGCAGAGTACATGGCTGCCTCCAAAATTGGTTTCCCCAATAAATCCCAGGAAGAAGATAGGTCAGTACATACAGTTCCCCACTTCCCATTTGTTAGGCAGTAGGCAGAGCCTGCATGGAGACTGGCTGAGTACCCAAAACACATCATCAAAATGCAGAGAGAACTTATCAGGAGAGTCCAGAAGTTCAGTCATGCGTAGGAAGACAGAACCTAGCCAGAGTCCCTACAGAGGAAAGGAAGTTCTCAAGCTACTGTCAAAAGACAAAAACAAACAACTGATCATTTTAGAGCAGAAAAATCTGAGTGGCCTCAGAAAAAAATCTGAAGCACTGGACTTCTGTGGCACCCACCTCTAGACAGACTCTGGAAGGCCCTGTTCCTCTTGTAGTTGCCACCGCTCCTCTGCCCCAAACCTCTATTCTGTGTGTGTGTGTACAGGGGGTAAGGGGGGGCGATGGGGCGTCAGAAAAGGGACTTCCCCATTGGTCCCACTACCTATGAACACTTCCTACTAGCTCCACTGCTGTCTACAGCCCTGCTAAACCTGCCCTTAGACCGACTCACCTGGACTGGCTCCTCCAAGACTCCACTGCAAATCGGACAGATAAGATCTTCATCAACATCCCCCTGGAAGCGGGTTACATCATACCCCATGTCTCATCACTGAAACCCAGGGCCTGGAAGGAACCACAGAGGAAAAAGAGGCCAGTTCAGAAGACGCCTACAAACAAGTGCCAACTTGAACTCATTGCTAAGACCCATTCATTTGTCCAACAATTATTATTGAGAGCCTACTATGTGCCCGTCAATTTGGGGGGAAAATGACGTCCCAAGAAACTGAATTCTAATGGGAAAAGACATTACACAGCATACATTTAAAATATGAAGTGATAAATGCTTTGATAAAGTATAGGGCATTATGAAGGCAGCAGATGTAGATACCTAATCCAGGCTGAAGGAAGACGGTGATCCAGGAAGCTTCCTAGGACTAGCTATCACCAACAGGACAAGCAAGTTAGCTAGGTGATGGGGATGGGGACAGGACAGGCATTAGGGTTTTAGGCACATAAAATAGCACATTCAAAGGTCCAGAAGTAAGAGGGCGTATGATGAGTTCAGGGAACCCTAAGTGGTTCAGGGAAAGGCTGACCTGAAGGGTGCAAGAGAAGTAGTGTCTAGATACAAGGCTGGAGGCAAGCAAGGGTTAGGCCCTTATAGAGTTTGGACTTTAACCTGAAGGTTATGGGAAGCCACTGAAATATTTAAAGGGAATGATTGGATAAAGGTTCCCTTTTAGAATTACCTTGTCAACACAAGTGAGATTGGAGACAGGAAGACCATCTAGGTAGCAGAGAGATGGAGAGAATCTGACCTTACGTGGTAGCAATAGGGATAAAGAAAGACAGAGGTTCAGGAGAGCAAGGATCCAGAGAGCAGTGGGGCTGCCATGCCTTTTCTTTGGGTTCCTAAGGGTCCAACCCAAAGAAGAGGTCACTAAATGGTGACTCAATCTCCCGTGTAGACAGCCAACTTTCCAACTGGTGGGCTAACTGGATCACAGATGGACACCTGATAATAAGGGCAATCTATCCACAGACCAGCCATCAACTGTGATGTCCTGGGAAAGATAAGCTGAGTTGATCAGATTCTCAGGAATTTGCAATCGAGCTGTCCAACTTTAAAGGGGAGCGGAGGGATGAGTCCAAAGAGATCTTGATACGTCAAGTGCAAGCTGAAGTACAGTGCAAGCTGAAGTACAGCACTGGACTGAGTTAAAACTGACTGGATTCTCCCCAGTTCTACTACTCATTAGCTGTGTGACCTTGGGCAGGCCACATAAACTTCCAAAGCCTAAGTCATTTTTTTTATAAATAGATAAAATGGATGTAAGTAATAATAGAAGTGACTCTCACGAAGTTGTCCTTAAAGAGATAATGCATATAAAAGATTTAGCAAAGCACCTGCTGGCACAAAGTAGGCACTCAACACATGATCAACTATGATTTATGTATACATCTATTTTCTACTGCTTGATTAAAAATCCCTTAAGAGCAGAAGCTCATATTCTGTATTCAAGGTAGCACCAAGCACAGTTCCTTAAAAATCAATAAAATGTTTGGTATACTTAAATGTTATCTTGCCCTGGCTGGTGTGGCTCAATGGACTGAGTACTGGCCTGCGAACCAAAAGGTCGCCGGTTCAATTCCCAGTCAGGGCACATGCCTGGGTTACGGGCCAGGTCCCCAACTGGGGACATGTGAGAGGCAGCCAATGGACGCATCTCTCACATGTTGCTGTTTCTTTCTCTCTCTTTTTCCCTCCCTCCCCTTCTCTCTAGAAAAATAAAATAAAATCTTTAAATGTTACTTTTAATTTAATTAGGAGCTTCCCAGCAACTAGGATAGAGTGGACATCTACTATTTTACTTACGTAACATATTATTTTCCAGTTTTTCTCTAGGAATCATATCCTGGTTTCTAGTGGACAAGTGACCCAACCCAGGACACTGAGTTGGGGGTACCCGGGATCTCGACAGGAGCTCACAAGGGAAGCTCTTTCCCCTGGGATCACATAGCTGATAGAATGCACAAATCAGAGTGGCTGGTAACCATCTCTGCCATTAATGAGGACAGCCTGCTCATAGAATGAAGCCAGTAATGAAGAAGGTAGAGTTGAGAGATTGAACTCAGATGAGATCCTCTGAGGTCCTGGATTCAGTCAGGTGTAAAGCCACAATCAGCTTTTCAACATCAGTTACATGAACAAATACATTCTCTATTACGTTTAGGCTGGTTTGAGGTGGGTTTTTGTCTCTTTCAGCTGATAAAAATCCTGATTAATACACAAGCTTATTAATACACAATCAAAAGGCTCCCTCTGGAACCACTTATCTTTCTTTATCCATTTAATATAGGAACAATGACACCCTGTGACATTGCTACAATTACACTGACCTCCATGACCATTTCTCTGCATCCTTGTTCCTCTATCTCTAGGCCCTTAGAAGTCCAGGGCCTTGGGCTTACTGATAATCCCTCTGCAACTGTCACTGTCGGCCCCCTTGGCCTGGCTATTGGCACTGGAAGCCAGACTGCAATGGTTCAAAGTGAACAAGAGGCGAGACAGAGAGACAGGACCTGAAGGTAACTCATCAAAAGCTTGACTTCAAAGGAAGAGAGAGAGAGAACTGGCTAGAGGAAGACAGGAGTTTGAGGAAGGGAACCATGTTGGGGGTGTTATTCTTTATAAGAAAAGCATGAGCATGTTTATGTACTAAGAGGAAAACACTAGTGAAAAAGGAAAGATAAAAACAGGAGAGAATCTGATCGCTGAGGCAGAGGTAGGTAGGGAGGTGATGTGGAATTATGTTAAACAGGAAGGGGGACACCTCTAAAGCAGGAAGGGAGAATGGTACAAAAAGATGTGTTTAAAAATCATACCAGTAAACTTTTTAAAAAAGCAGATAATTATTTATTCATTTAAATCAACAATAAAGGTATAGTTACCTTTATTATGTAATTGATTGTGGTAATTATGTGAGAGATGGTAATATGAGTCCATTTGATGAAATAATGTATCTATTTTATTTATTTACTTTTAGAGAGATGGGAAGAGAGGGAGAGAAACATCAATGTGCGAGACATACAGATGCCCCAACTGGGGACCTGGCCTGCAGCCCTGGCATGTGCCCTGACTGGGAATCAAATCAGTGACTTTTCAGTTTGCAGGCCGGCACTCAATTCACTGAGCCACACCAGCCAGGGTATATCTATTTCAAATGATGTTTCCGGGGAATATGCAATAACATAATATAGCAATAGATGAAAAAAGTAGAGCACAAAACTGAATACAGATCTGTTTAAAAACATATATTTATAAATAATCCATATATAGAAAGAGCCCAGAAGGAGGCCCTGGCCAGGTAGCTCAGTTGGTTAGAGTATCATCACAATACACCAGGGTTGTGGGTTTGATCCCAGGTCAGGGCACATACAAGAATCAATCAATGAATGCATAAGTGAGTGGAACAACAAATGGATGTTTCTTTCTGTCTCTCTCAAAATCAATACATTTTAAAAAAGAAAAAAAAGAGACCAGAAGGAAATATCAAAATGTTAACAGTGATTTATTTGTGTATAGGACCAAGGATAATGTTTTTCTTCTATTTTTAATTACCAAATATTTTAATGAATATATTTTTTGAAAATCATTATTCAATTTTAGCCTTCCACAAATATGGAAAAAAAATTTTTTTAATTTAGAAATTACTTGAGAATAAAAAAAAATACAGGAATACTTTCACTTTTGAAGTACAGGAATAAAAGATGGCGGAATTTGATCATACCAGTTTTCCCATTGACCTGGTTAAGACAGTCCTATTTTTGCCTTTAGAGTTAGAATGGACCATAAGAGATCATCCAGTTTAACGTCCCAGGATAGGAATCCTCTAGATAGTACCCAACCGTCAGTTACACGGTGCTTAGATGCTCCTGGGAAAGGTCAACATAGGATGTAGAAAGAGCACAGATGAGAAGTATCTAGCCCAGACTCACTTTTGTCATAGCATTCTAGAATGCCTATGTCCCTTTAAAATAAGGTACCCAGAGTTCCATATGGGGACTGACCAACATGGACAGACTGGGACTATTCCCTGCTTTCTTCTTTTTTTCCTTCTTTCCTCTCTACTTCAATTAATGAGAACTAAGACTGGTTAGTACTGTTCTAGATGATAGCTACTGCCATTCTTGTAGTCCAGACACAGAGCTGGGAAGAAGGGGGAGGGAGGGGCAAGAGAAAAGGTCAAGAAAAGGGGCTATCTGAAATAGCTTCTACATGAAAGCAAGTATATCTTCAAATATCTACAATTAATCTATTGAACTGCTGACTATACAATACCTACCTCAATTAAATAAACTGTACCTTGGTTTCTATACAATAAGACATACTGTTAAGAGAAAAAAAACTAAGGTATGGAATGAAATGGTAAATGTAAAGCATGACACCAAGAGTGCAAAAAACTATGTATGTGTACATGCTTACATATGCATGGAACTCTCCAGAAGAAAAGAGAAGAAATCACCTACAGTGGTTGCTACTGAAGATGGGGTAACTAAGGAACAGAGGAGGAAAATTTTAATTTCCTTAATTATCCCTTTGTGCCTTTTTTCAGTACTCACCCGAGGACATGCTTATTGATTTTAGAGAAAGTGGAAGGGAGGGAAAATGAGGGGAAGAGAAACATCAATTGGTTGCCTCTCCCACCCACCTTAACAGGCGAACAAACCCAAAATGCTAGCATGTGCCCTGACCAGGAATGAAACCCACAACCTTTCAGTTTATTGGATGCTGCTGCAACCACCTGAACCACACCAGCGAGGGCTCTTTGTGCCCTTTAAAAAGATTCCCAGTGTGAGCCCTGACTGGTGTAGCTCAGTGGGGTGAGCATCATCCCGCAAACTGAACCAGTCAGGGCACACGCCTGGGTTGTGGAACAGGTGCCTATTCTGGGCATGTGAGAGGCAACCACTCGATGTTTCTCACACAATGATGTTTCTCTCCTCCTCTTTCCCCCTCCCTTCCCAATCCCGCTAAAAATAAATAAATAAAATCTAGAAAATAAAAAAGATTCTCAGTGTGACAGCTCTAGATGGTGTGGCCCTTAGTTGGAGCCTTGTCGTACAAACTGAAAGGTGGCAGGTTTGATCCCTGGAAATTGGGGTATGTATGGGAAGCAACCAACGATGTTTCTTTCTTTCTCTCCCTTCCTCTCTCTCTCTAAAAGCAATAGAAAAATGTCCACAGGTGAGGATAAAAAAAGAAAAGAAAAGATTTCCAGTGTGTGTGTATTCACTATTTGAATAAATAAACCTCTAATCATCCTAAATTGTGAACGGAAGTACTAAGAGTAAAACAAAAAAATCCAAAATATTCACTTAATGTGTCATACATGTGTAATATAGCTTATATGACATACACATATAACACATAGTATACTATAACAAGGTCTGGAAACAATGTACTCTTGCGAGGATAAGCTGATCAAATTGAATCACAACAAAAAAAGTAGGAAATGTCCCCCAAGAAGCACATGCCCTTTTACCTAGCACTCTCACTTCCAGGAACTTAGTCTAAGGACATAATTACACAAGGGTATAGAACCAATATACCAGGTAGTTTATCTAATCAGTTTATAATAGAAAAATAAAGAAATAAATATCCCCTCCACAAATATCCAGTAGAATTCCTTATATCCATGAGATACCATGTAGCATTAATATGACTTACCTATATTTGTTTCCTATTAATAATGTATACATTATTTATATAACAAATTAACATTTATGCATGTTATATATGCTATAGTGTCATTCTTGTTTAAAAGTATGTTTATATTTATTTGTGAACACATTTATATTGGAGAGCATCTAGAAGGATACATATTAGTGAAGCTGTCTCTAAATGTAGACTTATAATATTTTGAATTTCACTCAGTTTTTCTTTACTGGTTTTCCCTATTTTTTCTACAATGATCATGTTTCACTTATGCAATTAAATAATAATGAAGTCAACATTATTGAGCATTATTATATGCTAGGCATTATTCTAAGCATTTCTTTTATGTTAGCTCATCTAATTCTTTCATCTCTACAAGTTACTCTATTAGGTAGGGACTGTCATCCATATTTTACAGATGAGTAACAGTGAACAAAGGTTAAAAAACTTGTCCAAAATCACACAGCTAGCAAGTGCCTCAGTCAGATTCAAACCCAGGCAGACTGGCTCCAGAGTCCAAGCTTTAACCGCTGTGATAATCTGCCTCTCAAACTGAAAAATGCAAGTTGCAAAAACAGTGTGTATAGTATGGTCCCATTTTTATAAAAACAATTAAAAATAAAAAGGAATATATGTAGTGCACAGAATTTTAAAATCTAGATGCTGAGATTATACTTTCAATCTTGATTATATATTTCTGCAAGGTTTAATTTTTTTTTAAAGATTTTATTCATTTATTTTTAGAGAGAGGGGAATGGAGAGAGAAAGAGAAGGAAAGAAACATCAATGTGTGGTTGCCTCTCATGTGTCACCCCCACCAGGGACATGGCCAGCAACCCAGGCATGTGCCCTGACTGGGAATCAAACCAGTGACCCTTTGGTTCACAGGCTGACACTCAATGCACTGAGCCACACCACCCAGGGGAAGTTTAACTTTTTTTAAAGAAAATCAGTTATCCTTCAAAGCATGGAGCAGAGTTAAAGTAACATCCTTTTTACCCCTGTTGCTATGTAGAAAACTAGCCTAAAGTCTGTACTGTGCTTCACTGTTCATTTTAAACCAATGTTAACCATATTGTCTTAAGGAGGAATATAATTTCTTAAAACTTATCTTTAAAAAAACAAAGAAGATGTATTTATTTTTAGAGAGAGGGGAAGAGAGGGAGATAGGGAGAGAAACATCGATTGGTTGCCTCTCGCAGGTCCCCAGTTGGGGACCCGTCCTGCAACCCAGGCATGTGCCCTGATTGAGAATCAAACCAGTGACATTTCGCTTTGCCGGCAGATGCCCAACCCACTGAGCCATGCCCGTCAGGGCTGAAAACTTGCCTTCATGGGGCCTCAGAGAGTCCTACATCCCCAAAATAAACAGGACAGAACTTGCCTCAACTGTTGCACAGGTGGCCAGAGGATGTGAAGAGCCACCAGCCAGGGTTAGGAGCTACAAAGTTCTCACTGTAAAGCATTGTTCTTCCTAAATTGAACACACTCTCCCTTCCACCCCTGCCCCCAACCTTTATCTGCTAAGAGTGTCCTGTTTTGTCTACCCTCCTATAAATGCATCCTTTCAGTGGTGCAGCCTCAATAATTAAGGGGAAATTTAGATTTCCAGTATGATTAGGGTATTCCCTATTTGTCATCTGTGGGAAACAAATGTTGACATGGATCTATACCACCTTGGAAGGCAGCTCCTTGCCCTGCCTTGCCCTGCCCCTAGGCAGAGAGTCAAGCCGATAGTCTAGATCCCTTGACTATTCCTTCTACTCTCCAGGACTCTTGACACTGCTGTGGGGCTGCCAAGAGGCAGGCTATCTTTCCACAGAGACCTCAGGAGTCACAGCCATTGGAAGCAGTTTCCAGGATACCTTCCTTGAGTTGTGGAATAGGAAAAGGTTTCACTCAAGTTGGGGAACTGCACTCAAGTAGCGCTGAGGTGTCCCTTCAGGTTTATAGGAGTCCTGCCAGCTTCCCTGATTTAAACATCCTGAATCCAAACTGAAAACTGCATTCCCCACTTGCTATTCTGCAGGCCAGAATCAAATCAGGTTAATTGTGTTACTTTCCTTCCTCACTGTTACACTGGGGTCTCTCTATTCCTGGTCAGCATTATCATAAAAATATGAGACCTTTCCTGTAACATTTTAACTTACTGCTGCAGTTGTTTTCTCTGGTATACCCCTTGAGAGAGCTAGGAATTCAAAACAGTTCCTTCATAAAGGAACTTGAACACTTATCCTCTCTTACTTAGCATTTCTTCAACCCATGTCCAGGTGTGCTAACCATGCACATTCACACACACACACATCCACACCCTCAAAAGAAACATTAGATAAGAATCACTAGTATTTTAGGATAACGAGACATGTTGTCACCGATTCTTGGCAAAAGCGTAAGGGTAAAAGCCAGATATATGTGCTGTACGCGTCCTTCTGCTAATTTTCCTCCCTGCCCTGAATATAACAGATGTGCAGAGAGCTAAGGAGTCTCCAGCCCCAATTACTACAAACCACCAGACACACAAGGAAAAGGCCGCTTAAGGAAACAGGTAACTCTTAAGAACTTCAACCTAGTGAAGAAATTCTTTGGTGAAGGGTTTCACAGGTACCCCTAAAACATTTCATTATCATCTCCCTGTCTCACAAAGAATAGGTCTGGGGAAAAAAGAAAACTGAGTCAAGAATCTAGAAACCTGAGTCCTAGTTCTACCTCTATTACTGACCCAATGTGTGGCCTTGGGCAAGTTGTTTAACCTCCCTGGGCTTTAGAGTTTCCTTACTCCATGAGCATCCTGGCCCTGGCCTGCGTGGCTCAGTTGGCTGGGCATCTTGCCACAAGGCAAAAGGTGCTGATTCGATTCTTCGATAGGGCACGTGCCAGGGTTGTGGGTCTGGTCCCCAGCTGGGGTGTGCGAGAAGCAACCAATGATGTTTCTCTCTCACATTGATAATTTTCTCCCTCTCTCCCTACCTTCCTCTCTCTAAATAAATAAATCCAATATTTAAAAATAAAAAAAATTAAAGCATCCTGGACTAAGTAACTTTTTTTCTTTTTTCTTTTTAATTTTTCTAAGTTTATTTGAGCCAAATTGATGACAGATGCCAGGGAGCAAGATCTCAAATACTCCCAAGACTACAAAAGTTCTAAGGTGCTCTTTAAGTCCCATGATTCTAAGATTCAGCATATAAAACAAAAATAGGTAGATTAGGTGTCCCGGCTTTACAACTGACTGACTTTGCTCTCCTTGGGCAAGTCTCTTCACTTTTTAAGTGAAAGGAAAGAGTCTCTCATGTAAGCAATAGAATTTTTAGACTGAAGTCACACCTTCTCTTAGAGAACTGAGTTCTTAGGAACTCGTTTTCCTCACTTGTGAAATAAGGGGGTGGGCTACATTGCCTCTAAGTTCCTGTTTAATTCCAAAATGCTCTGACCCATACTGGAGTTACTACAGAGGATTTTAAAGTTAGGCTTCTTTAATGGATTCACTTTATGAAAGAATCCAGAGGGTATACAATTCTTCAAGAATTCACCTAACACCTAAAATGAGGCCTACCGGGCCTTGAAGGCCAACCAGGACCTCTCACTTGGTTATCAGAACCAAGTACTATTTGTGTGATTACCCCAGATCTCATCTGCATTCTATATACACAGCTCCCTTGACAGGAGAGACTAGTGAAAAAAAAACCCAGAAAGCATAATCCTTGTCTTCAAACTACAGTGTGGGCTTGAGCCCACTTAGTGAGTATACAGCATAAACACATAAAATTACATAAAATTTATTAAGCAATTTACCAAGAGGTAAAAGTTAATTCCCTTCTCCCTTCCCTCCCTCCATCCCTTTCTTTCTCTCTCTCTCTCTCACACGTCAGTGCCTTTTCTCATCCCCACTCAGGCACTGCTCTCTTGGGGAGCATACCCAAGCCTTTTCTCCTTTTTCTTCCCTCAGGCACATCACCCTTGCCTTTCCTTCTCCTAAGCTACATGGGCCCTTCTTTTGCCTCTGTAACTTGTTTCCTAAGCCCACACGGCCCAGCTGGCTCACTTCTTTCTACCTCTGTGTGTGACTTTCTAAATAAACTTTCTTCTTCGATTTGGAAAAAGAACATTAACACATAAATATGCAAAGAACAGACTTGTGTGGGCCAATCATGAAAAGACTTATGCAAAAAGGAGTTTTAAGAAGCAAGTTTTCAAGAGCAGAAGCAACCCAAAATGGCAGAGAAAAGGGTTGAAGCCTGGAATGGGATTCAGAATCAAGGCTCTTTACCTTCAAAGTGTTGGGGGGCAGGTTCCCTGTTCACAAGGCTCCAACCCCCTGATGCCTCCACTCAGTGCAACTCGGGAGAGGCTTCCAGTAACCCATCTTGATGGCTATTCTCCAACTGAGTCTTCCTTCCCAGTGACAAGCTCTATCGCCAAGGGGATGGATGTGATGTCACAATCAGAAGCACTCTATTAATAGGAACAAGGAGGAAAAAGGTAAGTCAGGGGAACTACCTCCACTTGGCAGTAAGACCGGACAGACTTAGATTTGGCAGTTGGGTATGAAAGATGAGACAACTCCATTAAGGTTTCTATGCTAGGTCATTGGCTAAGGAATCACACGCATGGCCCAGGAGATTCAAACATACCTGAGATGGGGGAAGAGAAAGGGACAAGAGGAAAGGCAGAAAAGGGGAGAAGTTTGAAGTAGACAAATGTTCTTTTATTTGTGCAAATAACTACCAGTATATCAAAATTCTAAATTTGTGGCTATACTATGTCTAGATCCATACCTTTCATGCATAGTATGATGCTTTCATATTTCCAAAGTGCTTTCATGTAAATTATTTCATGTAAAAAGAATTCTGGCTCAGTGGATTGAGTGCTGGCCTGTGAACCAAAGGGCCGCTGGATTCAGTTCCCAGTCAGGGCACATGCCTGGGTTGCAGGCCAGGTCCCCAGTAGGGGGCGTGTGAGAGGCAACCACATGTTGATGTTTTTCTCTCTCTTCCTCCCTCCCTTCCTCTCTCAATACATACATACATACATACATACATACATACATAAATTCCGGTTCTATCCTCCAATTGGAAAATCCTATTTCATAAGAAGAAGAAACTCAAGAATATTAGTATAGGTGCAGTTCAACTTCTCAAGTGAGAACATATTCTTGAGGGGATCAGGCTTAAAAAAAAAAAAAAATGAAGAGCAGTAAAATGGGAAATTATTCCAAGGTGGGTAACTAAGAAGATTAGAGGAAGCAGTACAATTAGGCTGACCAGACACTCATTACTAAAAGGGTGGAACCAAGTAGAGGGAAGACAAGGTTTCAAATGAACAGTGCTGAGATATCTATTCAACACCATACAGAATAGCAACCATCCAAACTCCTTTCCTCACCATCGTATGTCTATCAACAGATTAAGGGCTGTGTTAGGAAGGAATAGGATGATGATTTTAATACATAAAACAGGGACCATTTCATCTTCTGAGTCTGGTACACATACTCATTACTTTACTATGCTCATCAGCCACTACACCTTCAGTGTGCTATTTTTAAACTAATCAGAGATAAAGGTGCAATGCCAGACTACACTTTCTCTTCCCTGTGGCTGGGGGATGGGGGTAAGTTGATATGTTTCTCCCCATCCATAATACAAAGGGGGGTATAATGCGTCTTCCATTTTGACAACACAGTATTTCCCAACACCCTGGCATTTGCCCCGTACCTCAAGAAATGCTTCCAGGAACCAGTGCTGTTGGCTCTGCTCAGTCCTCTTCTAGTGACAAGTTCCAGACTTAGAAAGCAAATAGTTGCCCATGCTGGGAAAATTAATCCTACTTCAACGCTCCCTTGGCCATTGCAAAACAGGATTTTTCAACTGAGAGGAGAACCAGGGATCAGGAGATTTGCCTTCTGGTCCCAGCTTTGTCAATTGTATGACTTTTAGCCAGCCATGTAACCCTTCTGTCAAGTAGGGGAAATGATTACCTGCCTTCTACCTTACATGTTGTCCTGAAAAATCAAATGACATAATAAATGTGAAAGCATACTAAATACTGCTATTCTCAGGTAAGGAATTTGTAGTAACGGAATGCAAAATAATTTTAGAGGACTGAGGACCAGTGAGGAAATGCTTGAAAGAAGCTTGTTCTTCTTTTCAATTACTGGGAACCAGGCCCAGCCACAAAGTCAGCTGGACACACAGGATATTTACATTATTGCATCACTCAGATTCCCTACCACTAGTCTACTCCATTCCTTTTCGGGGGAAACTAATCAGCCAGCAACACTATCAGCTTCTTGCCCCACTGTCAGATTCTAAAACCACCTGTATAGTAAGGGATTAGATTATCACTATCACTATCACAGCCCAGTCCCCAAGAACAGTGGCTCAGTGGTCTCAACAGACACATTTGCTATTAGGTGGAATAAAGAGTTTCTGAAAGGGGACGATGTCTGTCAGTCCCTTAGGCAAAACCCCCTCACCCCTCTTAGCTTTCTGCTCCTTCTCCAGCCCCCTCTTCCCCACTCCTCTGTTTCCCGTGTCCTACATTGGAGAAGGCTTTCCGGTGTGCGAAGCCTGCGAAGAGGGCTTGGCCGCAAACCCCAGGGCAGGGATGTAAGGAATGTGAGATTCCTTCATGGAAGGGTAGGAGGGGGAGAGGGGGGAAGGAATGGAGGAGGAAGACAAGGCTGCCAAAGACAAGGCATGGGAGGGGAGCCAAGCTATGGCGCTTGGAGGGCGGGGGTTCAGGTTCCACCGCCCCTGCCCGGGCTAGCCCCCAGAATGCTCTCTTCTCCTCCCAGCCCCGTCAATCACTGACCATTTAAACACCACGTTGTTCACCCAGGTCCCCTCCTCCTGGTCCTCCAGCCCGCGCAGGCCTCCTCCCGCGCTTCTTAAGGCTCCAATGGAGCTCCCCAACAATCCACCGTCCTGCACCCCATCATCACCTCCCGACTCCTCCTATTGCTGCTCCCTTCCTCCATTTTTCATCTTTACTCCCATCCCTTAACCTGCCCTCCAATATCTCGAATCCCGATTCCAATAGCCGGGACATCGCCCCCTCCCTTCCCACACCCTCTTTTAGGTGTGAGCCCGCGCAGGCGCAGTACGCACCGCCCTGGAAGCGGCCTGGACTTTCCGTACCCCAGCCCGGCTGTAGCTGAGGCCGCAGCGGCCACGGGACAGCCCGGGTGCCGTGTCCCAGCCTTTCCTGGGAGGGGAAGGGGAAGGGAAGGAGAGGGAAGAAGGTTCCAACCACTCGGAGCTGTTGAGACAGTCTCTTGCCCCGCCCACCGCTGCTACGCAACCCGGCGGAAGCTCGTCACCAAACCCCACCTCTTTGCTTTAACTCAGACCTAGACTAGAAGCTACGAGCGGCCAACGAAGAGGGAGGAAGGCTAGCCAGGCCTCCGCGGTAGACCGGAAGTCTTTATGGTCCGAACGAGGACTATATAGCCATTCAGGAGGGAGGACTCTTATGTACTTCCCAGTGGGAACGTCAGGGGTCGAGTCGGGAGGTTGACTCCCCTGAAGGGTGAGACTTCGCTTTGAAAGGGCGCACGTGTCTTGTGTCCTAGGGCAGATTCGGCGTCGTGCGAGATCGTCTCGAGTTGGCTGGCCTGCGGTGTGACCTGTTACCTTCCAGGCCCCTCTGTTTTCCAGAGCCGTGATCAGCGTCCCAGAGGCTCCCGACCCTGTGAATCATAGTCATGGGAGTGGATACTGTATCAACAAGGCGACCAACGAGTGGGGAATGGGGCAGTATCTGACCGCAAAACTTTGATCTAGGGTGTCCAATGGGTTGCCCTTCTCTCTACTAGCTGTACTCCTGCCATATATACGTCGGCTCACAGAATTCCCCCGAAACACCTAAGGGGAAAGAACGGAGATTAAATGTCCCTCTTTCTGGGTTTGATTTCCTTAGAATACAACACTTTGGTTGGGGGTGGGCGGAAGAGAATCAGCTCCGAGGAAAGTCTAGGTGGAACCTAAAGCCCTCTAGAGGAAGGAGAGGATTAATTAATTCAGCAGCGAAGGCATCAAAATTACATGACCTCTTGGGCTAATCTGATATTAAGTAGTATTTGTTATGGATATTCGCTAAGCATATGGTAATGCCCATATATATGCATTTGTTTATATGTATTTGGTTTATTATACACACTACTGAGCTAGCTACCTTTTGTTGACTAACAAGTCCCAAAGGGAACTAAAGGTTCAGGCCTCTTTTCAGTCATCTGGGGTTTAGGGGCTGAGATCTGTGAGATAACAGCATTGGGAACAGCCTATGCAATTGTAAGAGGGACTAATGCAAATGTAGCTCTCTGCCTGAGGTCCCCTTTCTTCCAAGGGGCTGAGTGCCTATTGTCTGTGGTTTGAATGCCACTTTTTCCAGAGACCCTGACCAAACTAGATAGTGCATTAATGGTGAACGACCCCAAACAGGAATAAAGATAAAGGAATAAGGGTTAAAGCAATGGGAGGAGAGTAAACTGCTTGCTGTATGCTAGGTACTGCTTCCTGTAGAATTACATTTTTAAGAATTGTTGGGACAGAAGTAAATCGCTGAGTCAGGTTTTAAACTTTTGTCCTCCAGATTCCAAAATGCTTGGACCTTTTTCCACTGTGTCACATCTAGGAAGAGAAACGAAATCTTAGATCCTAAGTGCATTCCCCCAGTCAAATAAAGGAAAATTGGAACCCGAGGCGACCCCTGGTGGTCTATCTTTCTCATTGCTAAGCTCGTCAGCTCCCAGGCTCCCTTAATACCTGGAATACGCCCCCTTCGCGGCGCGTGAATCTCAGGTCTCGATTGGCTGGACGGAGGCCAGAGGCGGGGCGCGCCAAAGCGGTGCTGATTGGTTGGAAGCCAGGGGACACTTCCGGGAATATTCACGCTCTCTCGTTCCAATGAGCTGCATCCGGCGGCAGTGGGGCATGTAGCTCCCCCTGCGGGAGGTTCAGCGGCATACACTGTCCTGCCGCCTGCCTGGGTGGGTGGTGGGCTGTGGGTGGGGGAGGGGATGGACCGACTCCCGGCTTGTCTGTATGAGGGTTCGGGAAGGTTTGGAGACTAAGATTCTATTCTGTGGCTCTGCACCGGTTTCGCTGCCCACCTCTCCGTCGGCTCCCCCACCTCGGGGCTTGAGACTGGAAGAGCATCTCGGGAAGGGCCATTCCAGCCCCGAAGCAGGCTATCCAGAGACCCTCAGGTTCTGATCTTGAAGTTGGAGGCCCCCGGGGAAGTTCGATTCTAACCTTTTAGAAGAGTTAGAGGGTTTGAGGCTGCCTGACCCCAGCCAACCGTGGTAGGTAGACCTTGGGAGGTGGAGCATGGGGGCGAAGGCTCCAGGCGTTGAAGCCTTCATCCCCTTTTCCCTTTTCTAGTGGGGTGCTGAGGCTGAGGCAGCATGACGACGGAGACCTTCGTGAAGGATATCAAGCCCGGGCTTAAGAATCTGAACCTCATCTTCATTGTACTGGAGACAGGTGGCTATGCTGGGACAGTGGGCCCTTGGGGGCGGGGAGATTCTCAGGGTTGGGGGACAGAAGGGGAAAAAACATCACCTCCGTTCTTAACTTGCTCCCTGGGTGACAGGGCGCACCCCAAGGCATGGCTCATGCCCAGTTGCTGTCCTAGACCCCAGCCCAGAGAGTTGCACTGAGATGTGGGTAGGCAGGCGGAACTCTTGCCAGATCCAAGCCTCCAGTGCCACAAGGGCCTCTTTCCATTCAGTGCTCTCTGCATGGTGCGGCCCCTCCACCCCAGCCTGCCCCAGAGATTTGGCTTTACCCTGTTTGTACAACTTTTCCGTCACCCCACCAGTATATCTAGATCTCATCCTTCTGACCATTCCCCGCGCCATTTATATCTGTTCCCTCCAGGCCGAGTGACCAAGACAAAGGACGGTCACGAGGTTCGGACCTGCAAAGTGGCAGACAAAACGGGCAGCATCAATATCTCTGTCTGGGACGATGTGGGCAACCTGATCCAGCCTGGAGACATTATCCGGCTTACCAAAGGGTAAGCTAGCTGGTGACTCTTGGTTATCCAAGGGCAGTAACAGTCAAATGGGTGGGTTAACAGTCCTTGTAACTCTTCTGAGTATTCTGAATCCTGGTTTTTGTGCCCCCACAGGTATGCTTCAGTGTTCAAAGGTTGTCTGACACTGTACACTGGCCGTGGGGGTGATCTTCAGAAGATTGGAGAGTAAGTGCTGTTTTGGGGATTGGGATGTAGAAGTAGTAGGCCAAAAGGGTAAGTTCGAGGTTTGTAAAGAGGCAGCATAAGGCTGTGCAGTCCATGTCCTGTGTCTGGACCTTTCTGAGGCCTCCAGCAGTGGTCCAGAGGATGAGTCTGAGGCTTTGGCCACTTTCTCCCCTTGCAGATTCTGTATGGTTTATTCTGAGGTTCCTAATTTCAGTGAGCCAAACCCAGAATACAGTGCCCAGCAGACACCCAACAAGACGGTGAGTCCCATGGCCATGATGTGGGGGAGGGCAGGGCAGTCCGAGAAGCATGGTAGGAGTTCAGGTCTGAGTGCAATTTGTGCCTTCAGGTGCAGAACGACAGCAGCTCTACAGCTCCCCAGCCTACCAGCGGACCCCCTGCAGCATCGCCAGGTAAACCTGTTCCCTTCTGTCCACTAGTCTACCCAGCTCCCCTGTTCTTCCTAGCCTGGAGAGATGCACAGCCCTCATGCATTTTCCAAATCTCTCTTCTGTCAATATGTCCCCTTCCACCCAATTCTTCTCCCAGTTGTTTTGCAAGATTTGAGGATCTGTTTCAGTCACTGATAGTGCATTGGTACATTTTGCCACTACCACTCAAAGGCAAAAATGAGAACAGTTTGTCCACAAAGATTGTACTCCTTCATTCTAGCTTGTTTCCCCTTGTTTCTTCTCTGGCAAAATGTTGTCCTTTTCCCTTGCCTGGTTTTTTTCATTGTCCACTTCTATTATACAGCGTAACTTACATGACTCAACATAGAGCCCACACTGCACAGCTTTCAAGCATCAACTAGTTCCCTTTTGGAATCACCACTCTCCTTGAAACTTAAGACCCTGCTTCTAGGCCTTGGCCTTACTTCTAGGCCTTACGATTATTTCATCTTACGTACTTCAAGCCCCTGCTTTATGTTCTCTTGAGGAATTGGGGCCTTACTGCAAATCATCAATTTTTAATTAGAATCACTCACTAACACCAACTCCTTCGTCTGGTGATGGCTTCTTCTCAGGAAGCTGGGTTTTACTGCTCTTTCCTCCATCTGGGTCATCTCTCAGCTCCCTACTGCTCCCTGAGTGTTTGGCTTTCTCTTGCCTCTGATCGGTGCATGAGGTTTCTCCCTAGGCTTCAGGCTGTGTCTACCCTTACTCAGTTTGTGTCTGCATTCCCAGTTACCATGGTTTTCAGAATTGTTTGTATCAGAACCAATTCTGATTGCACAACCAGGGGTCATGTGTTGTGCTTTTGTTTTTGTTTTTCGGAAACACCATGAAATAACAACATTTAATTCCACCACAGAAATTAGTATCCATGTTCTCAACTGAAAATACGACTATTACATATTTTCAGATCTCCATACAAATATTTTAATTAAGGTACATTTACGCCTATTTGCCCCAGTATTCATTTGCCTAATGTTTATTCACTTCGTCTTCTGCCAGTAGATACAAAAAGCTTAACAAAAACATGTCTGGCATTAACATTTACTTTCTGTATACTCGCCAAACATTTTCCTGTGAATTGAGGAAAGGGTATTATTTTTCAGTTCTGGCTGCAGATATCTTTTCTGGTGGAGCAGGGTTTAGCAGTAATGTGGTCCGGGAATCACTAGTCTATGACATCTACCCCATGACATCTACCCCATTTAGGGTTCATAGTGCCCTGTGTATGGAAAAAGAAGACCTCTGCCTTCATTTAACGAACTTTTATAGATGAGGAATGCCAAGGAATAAAACACAGCACCTGCCTTTACGAGCCTGTAGTCTATGAAGGAGGTAGTCACAGACTATGATTATAATACACTGTGAGTGCAATGATAAATGACAGTGATATGCACAGTTATGGGAGCACCAGGAGATCATCTCACATACCCGACTTCAATCACACATTTAAAATATACACACAAATGTTACTTATTATTGATACTTGGGGTGGGAGTGGGGTAAGAGTATATGTAATAATTTTTTGCTTATCATCTATACTTTCCGAAATGAATATGTATCATTGTGATACACTCCATGCCTTTTTATAATTAACAAAAGAAAGTTTGTTTAGAAAGTTACAGAGGTAGTAAAAAGTGAGCTCTAGATGGGCTAAAGAAACAAGTTATAGAAGCAAAAGAAGGGCCCTGGAGCTTAGGAAAGTCCACTGGAAAAGATTCAAGTGGATGTGCTCTTGGGGGAGAGAGAGAGCATAACTTTGTTTGTTTGTTTGTTTGTTTTGTTTTTCCCGATTTATTTTTAGAGAGGAAGGGAGAGAGAAAGAGAGAGAAACATCAAGTGGGGATTGGTTTCCTCTCCCCCACCCCATCCCGTTCTCCCATTTGGGGATCTGACCTGCAACCCAGGCATGTGTCCTGACTGGGAATCGAACTGGCAACTTTTCAGTTCACAGGCTGGTACTCAGTCCACTGAGCCAGACCAGCCAGGGCGCAAGAGGGCTTTTAAAAAAAAAAAAATCTTTCTTATATCCCTTGGCTGATGTGGCCCAGTGGATTAACTGCCGACCTGCAAACTGAAGTGTCTCCGGTTCAATTCCTAGTCAGGGCACATGCCTGGGTTGCTGGTCAGGTCCCCAGTTGGGGTGTGCGAGAGGCAACTGGTCACAGGTTGACATTTCTCCCTTCCTCTCTCTCTAAAAATAAATAAACAAATACAGTCTTTTAAAAAATAAAATAAAAGATCCTTCTTATAACACAGAAATTTCAGGCCCTTCCCCTTCCTGTGCTTCTCAAGTTTTACAGTCACTTTTGGTAAAAGGGCATTTTGTCAGAGGTCCTTGAGCCTAGAATTAGCTAATTTTAGGTCTGACTCCCAATGATGCAGAGATGAATAAAAGAAAAATATAGTACTAGAATTCATATAGCAACTTACAAAATTACTGAGTTTTTCCTGGGGCTCCATTCATACTCCCCACATTATTTGCATTTGGTCCAGTTGGCATTAATGTGCAGTTGTGCTTGATTGAAGACTCCTACTCTCTGGGGTATGGGAAAAGGCTCTGGGGATAGACCTAGTTCTCTAATTCATCTGTTTCTTCCTCTTTTCCCACAATTAGCCTCTGAGAGCCAAAATGGGAATGGACTGACTGCCTCACCCGGTCCTGGTGGTGGCCCGCACCCCCCTCACACTCCTTCCCACCCCCCCAGCACCCGAATTACCCGAAGCCAGCCCAACCACACACCTGCTGGCCCTCCTGGTCCCTCCAGCAACCCTGTCAGTAATGGCAAAGAAACCCGGAGGAGCAGCAAGAGATAGCAAGACATTCTTCTTCCCTTCCGACCACTGACCATAACCCAAGTGTCTGCTAGAGAACACAGCCTTCTACTGGGCTGCTGGCTTGGGGGTGGGAAGGGGTAGGTAGCAGTATTTTAGCCACTAAACTTCACTGAAGGGGCGGTGAGAAGTGGCCTTATCCACTCTAAGCCCATACTTGCCCCCTCATCCAGCTGAAGCTGCCTGCGCCCTGGGATTCGGGGCCCTCTGCCTGCCTTTCTTCCTCTTTAGAAATGACAGCTACAGGGTGTTTCTTCTTCGTGTGGGAAGTCGAATTGAATCCCTTCTCAATAAATGTTACCACTCTGTACTGGACTGCTTTGCTTTTTGTGGGAAAATGAAGAGGTTAGCAGCTGGGCATTTGGGAAAATGGGGTGTCCCTAGGAGGTGGAGAGGAGATAGTTTACCAGGTAGGGAGGCCTAGGCAAAGCAGGCCTGCCCCTTTAAGGTAGTGTCCCTCCCCTTCCCCCTCCCTATGGTGACCCTTGCCCGCCTGCCTGTCTACCCCCCCTCACAGCTGCAACCAAGAAGACTGTGTCCCCCTTCCTCTCAGCCTCCTGTCTCCTGCTGCCAGGTAATACCAACCTTGACCCCCTGTATCAATTTGCCCCAATCAGACTGTGCTCCCCTGATCTTAAGCAAGGTTGGACATCAGAGGGGAGCCCAGATACTTCCTCCCTCTGCCCAGCAGAGCTTCCCCTGTCTTGGTCATTGATTCCCAGAGCGCTGGCTCTTACTCGCTGGGGTGAGAAATTGCTAAAAACAATTTATTTTCCCTGCATGTGGGATTGCCACTTATCTGCCCCTTCACCTTCCTCAGCAGCTTAGGAACATCTGGGTCCAACTTTCCCAGGGAATGTGGGGATGGGGGTGGAGATGAATGAAGCACACTGCCAGATGTAAGGTAGGTGGGGTTGGGGTATATGCAGGGGACGGCTAAAATAGTACCAACTGAGTTAGGGGGTGGGTTATTTAGAAGAAAAGACCAGGTCCAGATTCTCCTTAGCCATGTGGCTTTTCCAGGGGCAGAGGGTGGCCCCTCCCTACTGGGGGCCCCAGCAGAGACTGACCTTTGCCCCCCCCAAGAGACCAGTGAACCATTAACTCCACTCCCATGTGAGCCTTCCCACGCTTGTCCCACCCCTGACCCCGCCCAAAGCAGGTGGGCTAAGAGGGGGGGCTTGTCCATCCCAGCCTTCCATCTGACGTGGCCTCCTTTCCACCTGTGAGCCTGGAGGCTGAGCCCAGCCAGCTCCCCTCCCTGACTCAGGAACCTCAGTGCCCACAGCAAGGCATGGCAAGAACCTGAGGTGATGGGGCTCTTATACACCAGTGGGGGGTGGGCTTCTGGGGATTGAGGGGGCATAGAAAGGTGGGACAAGGTTGAGGGTTGGGGTTTGGGGGACAGGGACTAGACTGTCAGCCCTGGATCAGGTGAGGGGAGCATCCTGAGTCAGGGAGGGCGTTCTAGGAACTGGTAAATTAGAGCTTGATCCAGGAGGAGGTCGTAAGGAGGGAGGAAGGAGGCTAGAGTCCGGGCTTCTTGCTGGATTTAATGTAGGGGGCTATGCGAGGAGCGAGGGATCCCTTCTGGCCCTTAGCTGAACAGCAGAGCAGGAGCACTGATCCTTCCTCCTTGTTCTTCCAGGACACAATTCTCAGGATGTTCCAGGGGGAATAGAAGCTAGAACCAGAGCCTCTGACCAATAGCCCTCAATAATGGGGCTTCCAATGAGTCATCTGCTGGTTGCCATATGTGTATGGGTGGCCTTGGGCTGGGGCAGGGGTTCGGATCCTGACCTGGGCCCTGCTGAGCTGGAGCAGAACCATTACCTGGCCCAGCTGTTTGGCCTGTATGGGGAGAATGGCACACTGTCTGCAGGGGGCCTCGCGAGGCTTCTCCACAGTCTGGGGCTAGGCCGAGTTCAGGGGCTGCGCCTGGGACACCACGGGCCTCCTGCTGGCCGGGCTGCACTCCCAGCTGGAGACAATGCCACACACAGGTACTAACCCCTTCCTCCACCCCAAAATCCCACATCCCAGCTTTTTTCAGTGCTTCGATCAGTCTCCAGTGTCTACATTTTTTGGCTCCTAAAATCAGATTCCCAGGATTACGAGTTTTTCAGAACCTGACTCCTTGTAGTCCCTTCAAGGCCCCTTTTGCCTCTATTGCCTTCTAATTCTCCCCTCTTCCAAATCCTGCACCCTTTAAGTTCTTTGCTTTTAGTCCCAGTGCTCAGTGTCTCCAGGCTGACTCGGCTCCCAATTTGTAACATTTTTGGCTGTCCCCCAACTCCTATTTCCAATCACTTCCATGTCCCCCATTCCTATAATAACTGACAATTTTCAGACCCTCCCAGGACTGACATTCCATTCGTTTCTGGGTCCCAGGAACTCCAGCCATTGGCTGGTCTTCCCTTTTCCCCTAACCGCTCTGGCAGCCTCTCAAGAGGGCTTTCTCAGAGAGCACGGGCCAGTCTGACTCTCTATCCCATCCACCTGTTCCAGGCCGCAGGACGTTGAATTGAATGTGGATGTCTGGGCAGAGCTGCCTCTGGGTCCCTCAGGGTGGGGTGACCTTGAGGAGCCAAAGGCCTCCCCACCACCCCATGGGCCAGCCCCGTCAGGCCTGGACCTCTTTCACAGGCTGCTGCTGCTGGACCATTCACTGGCTGACCATCTGAATGAGGATGTGAGTCCGATGAGCTCTGGAGGGGGGAAAGGAGCCATGGGATTTAGATGGCATGAAATGTTTAAGGAGTCAGGAATTTAATAGTTACTTTTTTAAAAATCCAGATGTGGTGTTCGGGTATGTTATTCCAATATGAAATGTGTTCCTTCTGGGCTCAGAGCAGATAAGCCACACTCAGAACTCCAAGAACTAGCTTTGGTGTCACACACTTGACAAAGCAGAGAAACCAGAGAAGCAGCCAGGGTGGGCTGTGGGGCAGATTATCTGAAGAGCGGATAAGCAGGGAACAGACAGCTGTTTTCATCCAGAAAGACACCGAACTGGTTCCACATACACCAGAGGGCAGTCAAAGCTAACCCTGAAGCAGGCCTGGTGCGAGTGAGTGCCCGGTAACAGGAAGTAGTCAAGCCAAAAGCTGGAGAAACATGTGACCGGGCTGTTGAAAGGAAGGTTGATGGCATTTCAGGTTCTTTTCCCTTCTAAGAATCTGGACTGGAGAGTTTTGGTTGTCCAACTGAATCTATGACCAAATCAAAGAAATCATCAGGTGCTTGGGAGGGAGGGAGACGGTGGCAATGTTCACTCGTACCCAAGCTGCACTGAATTGAATATTTGTATTGGATTGAATATTCACTGATAATTAACACGTACTGATTACACGTACCTGTACCCAGTCCCTGATGCACAGGGGACCCTGGGAGAGACCCGGTAGTCCATGTGATGCAAGGGCAGATCTGCGTCACAGTTCAATGTGACTCCCAACTCAACTCCCCTAGTGTCTGAATGGATCCCAGCTGCTGGTCAATTTTGGCCTGAGTCCTGCTGCTCCTCTTACTCCTCGTCAGTTTGCTCTGCTGTGCCCAGCCCTGCTTTATCAGATCGACAGCCGTGTCTGCCTCCAAGCCCCAGTTCCAGCCCCTCCAGGGGATCTACTGTCTGGTCAGTGGGCGAGAGTGGGTGGTAGGGCACCCTGAATCCTGGTAGGGAGCGGGCTCCAAGCCAAAGAAGGGGGTTCATTGGGGTGCTACCCCCCTTGCAGTGTATCTTTGCCCCTGAGCCCCTTCCTTCAGCCCTGGCCTAACGTCAGCCCCTGATTCTCCCCAGCCCTGGTTCATAGCACCCTGGCAGTCCTGGTGCTCAGCCTCCCGGCCCCCCTCTCCCTGCTTCTGCTGCGGCTCCTTGGATCTCGTCTATTGCGGCCCCTGCTGGGCTTCCTGGGGGCCGTGGCTGTGGGCACACTTTGTGGGGATGCGCTGCTACACCTGCTGCCACATGTACGTGGAGCCCCTTCCTTGTTCCCTTACCCCCTTTAGCGGACAGCCCCCCCTCATATCCAAGATGTTCCCAGTGAGCTCACAGCCTGCCTTCTAGTAGAATGTACGAGTGAAGGCTTGCCACCTCCCACCCAGAAGGGGGATGTTGCCGGGTACAGGGGTTTCGGGGGTCTTTCCTAACCTCCTCTCTGTCAGGCACAAGGAGGGCACCATGCCGGACCTAGTGGGCGGCCAGAGGAAGACCTGGGTCCAGGGCTGTCCGTGCTCGGCGGTCTCTTCCTGCTCTTCTTGCTGGAGAACGTGCTAGGGATTTTGCGGCACCAAGGGCTAAGGCCAGTGAGTGACAACTCTTTTTCCTTCTTCTGCTGAGACCAGAGTCCTACCCAGGAACTGGCCACATGAACCAGGAGGTGAGGGGCCGAGGGTGCTCCTGGCTCCACCCTTTGCCTGACTGCTACCTGGGAATGGGTAGGGCTCCCTCAGCACAGACTCAGGACTGTGTCTGGCCCAACAGCTTCCTCTTCTGAGTTCAAGGCAACAACAGGGAGGTGCCAACCTGGGAAGAGAGTAGAAGCCAAAAAACATCCCCAAGTGCCAGAAACAGAACCAGGCGTTTGTTTTCCCAGCTGGTAGCCTGGTCTCTCCTTAGCCCCTGGTGTTGCTGCCTCCTCCACCAGGAGGGATACCCTCCTATTTTAGAGATGCTGCAGGCGAAAGAGAAAGGATCTCAGAACCCCAAACCTGGACCCAGAGGACGGCAGCGGGATGGCACTTCAGCCCCTACCGGCAGCTCCAGGTGACTAGAGGAGGAAATGAAGAGTAGGCCCCCAGGCTCACTTGCAGCCACCAACACTGTCCTTGTCTTTCTTCCTGCAGAGCCAGGGACTCTGGGCTGCAGGGAGCAGGCCAGCCAGCCCCCATCAGCCCCAGCCCCTTCTGGGCACCAAGGCCACAGTCATGGGCACCAGAGTGGCAGTGACACTGGTATAACATGGATGGTCCTCCTGGGAGACGGTCTGCACAACCTCACGGATGGGCTGGCCATAGGTGTGAAGGGAGGGGCAGAGGGAGGCAGATCAGAGGCTCCTTGTTACTGGCTGGAGCAAGGAGAGGGCTCCCGGGAGGTGATGATCACGGGGGAATGCAGGCGCCTGCCCCTGGGGGAGCTTTCCCGCAGACCGCCCAGCTCCGATCCTGCCGCCCCCAGGTGCCGCCTTCTCTGATGGCTTCTCCAGTGGCCTCAGCACCACTCTAGCCGTGTTCTGCCACGAGCTGCCCCATGAACTGGGTACGAGTGGCAGAACTGGGGTTGGGGTGGCACTCGGAGGCTGGCGGGTGACATTGGTGAGGGACGGCCCTGGCTTACTCCCTCCTACCCTGTCTTCTCTTCCCAACAGGTGACTTTGCAATGCTGCTCCGGGCAGGGCTGCCATTTCGGCGGTTGCTGCTGCTGAGCCTGGTGTCTGGAGCTCTAGGGCTGGCGGGTGCCGCCCTAGGAGTGGGGCTCAGTTTGGGCCCTGTCCCCCTCACTCCCTGGGTGTTTGGGGTCACCGCTGGGGTCTTCCTCTATGTGGCCCTCGTGGACATGGTGAGGCATGGGGCAGAGCAGAGCAAACTGAGGGAAGAGGGGTGTGGAGGAGAGGGAAGGATCAGTCCATCCACGTCCACCGCAGGCCACCTGGAAGGGTGCTGGACCCCAGGCCTGCAGTCTGAGAAACAAGGGCCTGGGAGAGTTGGGGCAGAGACTGTTGATACTTCCCCACACCATCCTCTCAGTTTTTGTGTTTCGGTGACAGAGATAAGGGGAGGATCCTGATGCGCTTCTTTTCTTTCAGCTACCAGCCCTGCTGCGTCCTCCTGAGCCCCTCCCTACACTTGAGGTGCTACTGCAGGGGCTGGGGCTGCTCCTGGGGGGCAGCCTCATGCTCACCATAGCCCTACTGGAGGAGCAGCTACGGCCCCTGGTCTCTGATGGCTGATGGGGGCAGGGGAAAGGCGTCCAGCTTGCTCTTCCTTCCCCCCAACCACAGGAATGGAGGCGGGACACAGGGCCAGTAGGAGCAATAGGATTTTAATAAACAGAACCCATCCCAAAGCCATGACTATGACAGTTGTACTTGCACCAAAACAGCATAGAAAACCAGGATGTGGTGGGAGGGGGGCTCAAAGCAGGTCAGGGGAGGACATGAGTAGGGGCCTGGAGGATACGGGGGGCATCAGTCTACAGGGAGAGCATTGTGCTTTAGCCCAGGGAGGAGGGGAGGGATGGGGCAATGCACTGAGGTCCCCACTTTTTCCTGCTGCCCTCAGCACCCTGGGGATACAGGCATCTGGGCAGATCTGCCCTTTATTGCTGACCACCAGCATTAAACACCCCCGACCCCAACGCTAGCACCACAGGTGGATCCAGGGCAGGGAGAAGGGCAGGGAGGGGAAAATTGCTTAGAGAAAGATTCCACTTGAATCCAGTGAATTGTGCTCAGTTCTTTTTACTTCCTACAACCGAGTACATGGGTCACAGGGTGGAGGGTGCAACAGGACATGGAACATGCCCCTCAGTGCCCCCAACACACCCCTGCACACAGGATGGTGTCTGCAGCATCACAGGTCATGCAGGGCACGGGGAAGGGGAGGATCACACACACATAGATGCCCGCAGTGGGTACCAGACAGAGAACACCCCTGAATATACACAGCTGTACACAGGGAACCAACCCCCCAGGTCCCCCACCCAACCCTCTCCCCTGTCTTGCCATCCCCCAGGCAGGAGGAACTGTATTGCTTTGAGAGAGCCACCCCGGGGGCCACTCTGCCAGGCACCCTCCCCTCCCATCCCCTCCCCCCCAATCCCATTTTGGCACATCTGCAAGACACACAGCAGCAAGAGTCGGCACCCTCCCTCCCAGGCTTCTGTGGCTTGGAGTTGAGGAAGGGGGTAGGAGACTTCGTCCTCCATCTTTCTCCTAGCCCTTCCCAAACCCCTACCAAGCCCACTCCAGCCGGAACCCACCCCACCCCTAAACGCACACATACAAAGCTGAGCTATCCAGGAATACGGGAACGAGGAGATTGTCTGGGACGGGAGCAGAGGCAATGGGAGGGAAAGGACTGGAAGCAGAGACCCCACCCTGGTGTGGGGGTAAGACTGGCACAACAGCTACTTTAGTGCAATTGGAGAGGGTGCCCACAGTGAGGGATGGAGATGGAAGGGGAAGGCTCTCCCCAAATTCCCTGGGGGCAAAGCCAGGCTCCCCAGGGAAGGGGCCTAGCAGGAGTGAGCGCGGGCCAAGGGCGGATCCTCTCGTCACCCGCCACCCTCTGCCCTCCTGGATGCAGTGACAGTGTCCCCCTCACGCTTAAGTGGGCAACAGCAGCCTCGGAATCAGTACCTTCAAGTAGTTCATAGAGCAGACCCTCCCCACCCCAGCTTCCTCCCATCTCTGGGATTTGGTCGCTTCTCTAGGGGTTGGGTCGGGAGGAGGGAGTCCTCAAGTCAGACCCTTCCTTCTCTACCTCCCTCTTCCCAAACCACTGGGCTTGGTCCTCAAAGATTCCTCACCTCTGCCCTTGCCCAATGTGGGTCAAGGCTGTGGAGGACTGGAGCCACCATGATCGGGGGGAAGGGGCTGCTTTGCTCCTTCTCCCTCCTTCTTACAAGGTAGGGTTCAGACTAGGCAGGATGGGGCCCCACACTGGTTTGCACCAGGAGGAGGGCTTCTGGGCTAGGGTCTGTAAGGCTATTTTCCTTTGCGGTGGGAAGGGGAGGCAGGGGATGAACACTCGGTGTAGGGAGAGGGTGAGGAATGGTGGAGAGGGAAGGAGGAAGGGGCCTCCCTGCTGGAGCACAGTCACTGGAGTCATTCAAATAAAGAAACACGCATGTGCACAAGATCCAGAGTGTGCCTGCTCCCAGCCCCTCCAGCCTGGCCCCACCCCACCTCTCAGGGCCCCTTCCAAGACCCCAGAGAAGGTTTTGGGGGTACAACTGTAGAACCGTTCACTCTGGCCCCACAACCCCCATGCCCCCAGCCTCTTCTCCCCTTCTAGGTCCAGGGAGGAAGAAGGTGCTCAGGTGGGCAGACAGCGGTGGAAACAGTATTGAGTTTTCCTTTGGTTACATATTGAAGGCAAAGGTGAGCTGGACTTACAGTCAAAACGGATAGGGATGAGGAAGGAAGAGGGGCCATGGCTGGGGCTGGAGAGGGAGGTAGGCCCTCCTCAGCCCCCCCACCCCAAGGAACACATGTCTAAGTGGGGTGGCAGTCCCTCAGTCTCATCTCTCCCACCCCCCACAGCACCAAACAAAAGGAGAAGCCCCCTCCCCCAGGGGCTGCTCCCCACCCCAACCTGGGCTGTACATTCAGTGGTTTTCAGCAGTCCTATGGCTCAGGGGGCCGGGGGTGGGGGAGGTGGCCCATCAGTCTCAGCTGGACAGTGGCAGTGACCTGGGTCTGTTGGTCCATCCTGGGACCCATAGTTTGTGCCATTTGTTTTTCCGAAGGATAGTACACTACCCTGCCAAAGCCACCGCCCAATCAGAAACATATCCCCCAAAAATCAGAAACTAAAAACTGGCTCTTTTCATCTCACCCTCTGATTTACGTCTGTGTCTGTTTCCCTGTCTCCTATGTAGCCCTCGCTCTGTCTCCTTTGCTGGGACCTGGGGCTGCTCCCAGGGTCCTCACTTAAAATAGGCCTTTTCTCAAAAGTGCTTATTACTTGAAGCAAGTGCTTTAGAGCTGCGGTGGGGAGAGGGGGCGGGGAAGAGGGCAGGTGAAGGGAGGGAAAGGTTTCCTCCCCACCCTACCCCTGAAGATTGGGGGGCATTCTGCCTGTTTTACTTCTCCACACCCGTTTAAGTCAGAGGTTTTAAAAAAAAAATCTTAACGTTAAAATAAATATGCAGTGGCCATGAGAATGGTCAAAATGCTTCAAAAACACTAGGGGCTGGAGAACCTGGGGCAGGGAGTTGTGGGATTTCCTTTGGCATAAGGAGAGGAGACTGCCGGTCCTCTAGGCCTCCTCCCAGCCACATGAGGAGGGACAGAGGACGCCCCACCACATGCCCAGCACTGCTGACGTGTGCTAAAGAGGCAGCAGGGAGCGGGCAGGCAGCCACCAGAAATCTCATCTAGCAAAACGATGGGGCCCCTGACAAACACTCCAGTTCTTCCTGTCGTCGCCGAACGTTGATAAAGGAGAACACGACTGATACCCGAATCTTTTCTGCAGGACCCAGCCTCCTTCTCCTCTGCGTGCCCCCCCCCCCCCAATTCCCAGCACCAAAATGAGAGGGAGGGGGTGGAATGGGAAAATTTCAGGAGAGAGAATTAAAGTTAGGCGGCAAGCTCTGCAGAACCAGCAGGGAGTGGGGGGCTGCAGCCCTTAAGAGAGGTCACGTTGATTGTCGTATAGGGGAGGACAAGGGTGTGGAGGGAAGTGGGCAAGAGGGGCGTCACAAGGCCCTTTGGCTTTGAAAACAAAAATAAAAACTAAAAGCTGCACAATCCTTCTCACCAATAATGGTCATTTGGAAGCTTTGAAATGGTTTAGGAACTCAGGGGTGGGGGAAGCAAGACAGAGAGAGTGGGGGAGAGAGAGAACAAAAAGGGACCACAACAAAGAGTAAGGACTTGGACAAACACCCCAGGCATCAGGGAGCCAGCATGAGGTATGGTTAAGGGTATTGTTGTGGGGGGCGGGGGCCCTGGGACGCCCCCTCTCCCCTCAGCCCACCCTTGGCAAGGGTGGCAAAACTTGCAGGGACCACAACTGAAAATCGGGTAAGATCGTGAATAAAGCAAGCATGAGAGGGGGCAGGAGAATGAGGGATCCCCTGGGAGGGGGAGACCCTCTACTGTGTAAACGAAGCCCATCCAGTTCTCAGGGGACAATACTGATGGCAGCCAAACTGGGCAAGGATGCACTGTGAGGGCGGAGGGGGCATGACCTCTATTCAAGTTCTGTGTCTTGGCCCCTGGCTGAGGTATTGAGTGTGAGGAAGGGAACACTGGGCTGCGGGAACGGGTCCAACTGTCCAGGAGGCTTAGCTAGGAGATGGATGGACAGGGCTTTTGAAGGGACCAGGGCCAAATTCAATGCTACATTTAGAGAAAAATACTGCCCCATCCTCACTCCGGCCCAGTTTGGCTTTTGGGGTGCAACTGGGGAATCTTCTCAGTGCAGCCCCTAGCTCAAACCCATCTCTCCCTGCTGCTGGGAAGGCAAGGACCTAGCCTCAGTATCTGTTGGTTGCTCCTTAGATCAGAGCTTCATCCTCACACCAGAGGAGAAGCCTGGGTCCCGAGTAGCCACGGTCCCTAGTCTGCCCTGCCCCTCCCACCATCTTTGGCTTCAGATCAGGAGTGACTGGCGGCAGTGGGTACTCTTGGACATAACGGAAGGTGGTAGCAGACAGGGAGCAAAGGAGCTGTAGGGTTAGGGGGCACAGGAGGAAGAACACAGTCCCTTCCTCCACACATGCAAACACATGCCTGAAACACATAGGACATACTAGGGCTGTGGTTTTGAAATGGGCAGGAAATTAATCTGTTTCTTCCTCTAAAGGATAAAATGCTTACTTAAAAATTCATGACAAGCCTCAAAGTTAGGGAGAGGAGAGCCAGGGAGGGAATGGCCAGAGGCTCTGCCCTCCCAGAAGTTAAAAGAAAGAAGCAAGGTTAAAGTGCATGGTTAGGGGGCCAGGCCAGGAAAGGGAAGCAGGGAGGAGTAGGCTGTGGGGGCAGAACCAGCCCTTGATTTGCATATGAGGAGCCAGGGGAGAGTGCAGGATTGGGGCCCAGGTACAGTAGTTGCTGCTTCAAGTGTTTTGCATTTGAACTTTAGGGGTGATGGGGTATAGAAGTGGGGGAAAAGCTCCAGGCCCCAGTGCTAAATACCCTCCCCACTCATCCACTAGCTGCCCCTGAAGGGGGAGGGGGACGCCCCCAGAGTGCTCACACAGTACCAGAAATTAAGG